GCTGGAATTAGAGACATGTGCCACCATGCCCAGCTACTGTTTTTGTATTTTTAGTAGAAATGGGGTTTCACCATGCTGGCCAGGCTGGTTCTTGAACTCCTGATCTCAAATGATTAGCCCGCCTTGGCCTCCCGAAGTGCTGGGACTACAGGCTACTGTGCCCAACCAAAAAGTTATGTCTTACGCTGTGCCTTGTAATCTTTATGAATAGGAATTACCTAGGAATCTTGTTAAAATTGTGAATTCTAACTCACTGAGTGTGGAGAGGAACCTGAGATTCTGCATTTATAACAGTTCCTAGATGATGTTTCTTCACAAAGCACAATTTGAGTAGTAAAGATTTAACGAATAAAAGTGAATTTATGCATAAATGCTTGTTGACTGATTTGATTTGGAATAGGGTACTTTGAATAAAATGTTTCAGAATCTTAGGAAGACCTGGATTGAGCAAAGTTACTCCATCGTGAGATAATTACAGTCAATCTGAAGAGACCAATGTGTGTGGAAAAACTTGAATGTTTTGCCCCTAACCCTGTTTAAATCAGAGATCCAGCAATAGATTTGTGTAATGGTTAAAATTTGTGTGTGTGTATGTATATGTGTGTGTGTGTGTGTGTGTGTGTGTGTGTGTGTGTGTGTATTAAACTTATAATTTTGAGCTAATTGTAGATTCACGTCATTGAATCAGTAGGAATAAATCATGTAGAGATCACATGTGCCTGTCACTCAGTTCCCCCAGTGATAACATCTTGTAGAACTGTAGTAAAATATTACAGCCAGGACATTGATAACAGTCACCTATCGACACACTAACCTTATTCAGATTTTAATAGTCTTACATGCGCTCATTTGTATGTGTATGTATTTAGTTCCATGCAATTTAATCACATGCATAGATTCATATAAATGTCACCATAGTCAAGATATAGGATAGTTCCTTCACCACAAGGATCCCTTGTGTTTCCCTTCTATATATACTCTGTAGTCACACTCAGCTCATCCTCCTCATCCCGAATGCCTGGCAGTCATTAATTTATTCTTTTTCTCTATTTTTCATTTCAAAAATGTTATATAAGTGGAATAGTACAAAATGTAGCCTTTTGAGATTGGCTTGTTTTGCCCAGTGTAATTCTCTTGAGATCTAACCAAATCGTTGCATGTATCAAATAGTTCCTTCCTTTTTAAAATTTTTTTTTTATTGTTACTTTAAGTTCTAGCATACAAGTGCAAAACATATAGGTTTGTTACATAGATATACCTGTGCCATGGTGGTTTGCTGCACCTGTGAACTAGTCATCTAGGTTTTAAGTCCTACATGCATTAGCTGTTTGTCCTGATGCTCTCCTTCCCTTCACCCTCCCACCTCCAACTGGCCCTGGCGTGTTTTGTTTCCCCCCACTGTGTCCATGTGTTCTCATTGTTCAGCTCTCGCTTATGAGTGAGAATATGGGATCTTTCGCTTTCCATTCCTATGTTAGTTTGCTGAGGATGATGGCTTCCAGCGTCATCCATGTCACTGCAAAGGACATGATCATTCCTTTTTATGGCTGCATAGTATTCCATGGTATATATGTACCCACATTTTTAAAATCTAGTCTATTGTTTATGGGCATTTGGGTTTATTCCATGTCTTTGCTATTGTGAATAGTGTTGCAGTAAACATATGTGTGCATGCATCTTTATAGTGGAATGATTTATATTCCTTTGGGTATATACCCAGTAATGAGATTGCTGGGTCTAATGGTATTTCTGGTTCTAGATCCTTGAGGAATCACCACACTGTCTTCCACAGTGGTTGAACTAATTTACGTTTCCACCAAGAGTGTAAAAGTGTTCCTTTTTCTCCACAGCTTCGCCAGCATTTGTTGTTTCTTGACTTTTTAGTAGTCACCATTTCTGACTGGCGTGAGATGGTATATCATTGTGGTTTTGCCCCCAACACTTCTTAAGCTGATAGGCAACCTTAGCAAAGTCTCAGAATACAAAATCAATGTGCAAAAATCACAGGCATTCCTATACACCAACAATATACACCGAGCAGGGAGCCACAGCATGAATAAACTCCCATTCACAATTGCTACAATGAGAATAAAATACCTAGGAATACAACTAACAAGGAGTGTGAAGGATCACTTCAAGGAGAAATACAAACCACTGCTCAAGGAAATCAGAGAGGACACAAACAAATAGAAAAACATTCCATCCTTGTAGATAGGAAGGATCAATATTGTGAAAATGGCCATACTGCCCAAAGTAATTTATAGATTAAATGCTATTCCCATTAAACTACCATTGACATTTTACACAGAATTAGAAAAAACTACTTTAAATTTCATATGGAACCAAAAAAGAGCCCATATAGCCAAGACAATCCTAAGCAAAAAGAACAAAGTTGGAGGCATCACGCTACCTGACTTCAAACTATACTACAAGGCTACGGTAACCAGAAGAGACATATAGTTCCTTCCTTTTTATTTCTGAGTAATATTTCAGGGTATGAATTTACCACAGTTTAACCATTCAGTCCTTGGGGATCATCTGGGTTGTTTCTCTAGTTTCTGGTTATTATGAATAAAGCCACTAGGAACATTTGTATGCCCAAAGTTGTTTTTGTGAATGTAAGTTTTCATTTCTTTGGGATAGTAAGTACATATTTTCATTTTATAAGAAACTAACAAACTTTTCTAGGATGACCATACCATTTTATATTCTCTTCACATACCATAAACGGTGTAGGGAGAAGTGTGGCTGTACTTTGGTAATGTGTCATCCATGAAACCATGTTTTAGTTATGAAAGATTTATGGAGTAATAAATGATTATGGTAAATGAAAAATCAACAGTAAAGATATTTCCTGTAGGCCAGGAAAACTACTCTAAAGAATACTCTGGCCTTTGTCCCAATTAATTTTGTCAGAAATCAGTTCATATGCTGATTGTATCTTAGGTTTATAAGACAGGAACAGCTGGGGACTCTGGCTCATGCCTGCAATCCTAGCAGCTCGAGAGAGGTCAAGGCTGGCAGATTGCTTGAGCCTCAGGAGTTTGAGACCAGCCTGGGCAATCATGGGAAAACCCTGCCCTAGCCCCAAAACTACAGAAATTAACTGGGCAGAGTGGCAAGTGCCTGTATTCCCAGCTGCTTAAGTGGCTAAGATGGAAGGATTGCTTGAGTTCAGGGGGAGGTTGAGGCTGTAGTGAACCGTCATTGTGCCACTGCACTCTAGCCTAGGCAACAAAGCAAGACCTTGTCTCGGAAAAAAAAAAAAAAAGCAGCAGCAGCAGCAGCAGCAGCAAAGGCCAGAGTTACAAACGATACAGGAAACTTTAGAAGACATGTTTTAGAACTTCCATTTGAATCCTGTTTCAGGGTTTTCTAGAGGAACAGAACTAATAGGATATGTGTGTGTATATATGTGATATGTAATAGTAAGATATGTATATATATCCTATTACAATGAATAAGGGATTGTGTGTGCATGCATATTTATATATAAAGGGAAGTTTATTAAGTATTAACTTACATGATCACAAGATTACAAGGTCCCACAATAGGCTGTCTGCAAGCTTGAGGAGCAAGGAGAGCTAGTCCACATCTCAAAACTGAAGAACTTGGAGTCCAGCGTTCAAGGGCAGGAAGCATCCAGCATGAGAGAAAGATGTAGGCTGAGAGACTAGGCCACTCTCTCCTTTTCAAGTTTTTCTGCCTGCTTTATTTTTGGTGGCAGCTGATTAGATGATGCCCACCCAGATTAGGGTGGGTCTGCCTTCCCCAGTTCAGTGACTCAAATGTTATTCTCCTTTGGCCACACCCTCACAGGCACACTCAGGATAAATACTTTGTAATCCAGTCAAGTTGACACTCAGTATTAACCATCACAGATGGTTAATATATTATAATTCATAATAAATTATAAATAACTAAGTTATCCTGAATCCTAAGGGCAATAAATTTTATTTAGAGCCAGAGATCTCATGATTTGGTGACTTTTCTACCATCCATAGCTAACCATTCTGTTTTCATTTGCTAGTTTGAAATGCAAAAATGAAATCTTCAGCTCTGTTCCAAAAATACGCAGAGTTTAGCCAACTCTTTTTGTCTGTATAAAATCCTCTGCCTTTTTGCATGAGTGCTACAAACAAATCTGTCCACTAGATTCAGAAAGATTGAATATTATCATTCAGAACTATTTATTTTGATTCCGGATGCTTTGTTATAGTGAAATACATTCTATGGTACTTTGGCTACTCTTAGATACTGTAAGGGCAAGAATAAATGTTATCTTTCTGGCTCTGAAAATGGTCTGTAGATGAATTACTGTTGCCTTAATCTGTAATTTTTGGCTATGATTACCTTCTTCAGATTTCCTGCTGCATACTTAGCAGGAAATTTGGCTTATTTGTGGTGATTTTCAAGTTACATTTACTTTGTAAATAATAAATGAAAAGATGATGCTAAACCCTCCAGAGATTATCATCATGGAAATTTTTTGTATTCTAGAAACTTGATCTGGTAGCTTTATGCACATTATAGGTGGTTGATATTTTACAGTGGATATGTATTTTTCAGTGGAGCCAAACATTTATACTCCTGCTCTTTGATATTTTTTCGGAGGAAGGATTGAGTCCACATTGAAAGGTGGTTGTCAGCTAGGCAAGGTGGCTCATACCTGTAAATCCCAGCACTTTGGGAGGCCAAGGCAGGCAGATCACCTGAGAGGTCAGGAGTTTGAGACCAGCCTGGCTGATAAGGTGAAATCCCATCTCTGCTAATAAAAAAATTAGCCAGGCATGGTAGCACATGCCTGTAATCCCCCCTACTGAGAAAGCTGAGGCAGAAGAATTGCTTGAACCCACGAAATGGAGGTTGCAGTGAACTGAGATCGTGTCCCTGCACTCCAGCTTGGGTGACAGAAAGAGACTGTGTTTAAAAAAAAAAAAAAAAAAAAAAAATGGCTGTTATATTTCCCTCTGGTGTCTTGAGAGAGAGAGATTTTATATGTATCTGTAATTTTTTTTTTTTTTTATGTAGGGTGCATTATTCTGTAACTGGACTTTTATTGCAAGTATGCCTTTATTCTTGGAAGTGGGATTCAAAACTCTGAGTTTTTAAAGGTGATTTGGTACATGGCACAAATACTTTGAAAGGAATGTATTTTCAGAATCTCACTTTCCATATGTACTTTATTAAAGTCCCTCTTCCCTAGGATATTTTAGATCAACTTAAGTTCCACACTTCTTAAATTTACATTTCAAATGTGTCTTAAACTTATCAGTCATTCTTAATCATGATTAGAGAAACTTTTGCCTCTTGCTTTATTGAAGAAACCTGGGATGTTTATATACTTACAGTCACTCCTCCGTATCTGTGGGTTCCAATCCATGGATTCAGTCTATTGGGATCAAAATTTGGGGAAAAAATATTACACAAAATTCCAGAAAGCAAAACTTAAATTTCCTGCACACTGAATGCCATGTGAATGAAGTGATGTATAGGCATCGTATTAGGTATTCAAAGTAATCTAGAGTTGATTTAAAGTTTTTAAAGATAATCTGGGGGGCAGGGGCTCCGAAAGTGGGGAGGGCTGTTGGTCAGGTTGGAGATGGAATCATGGGGAGGTCAAAGTGAGGTTTTCTTGCTGTCTTCTGTTCCTGGGTGGGATGGCAGAACTGGTTGAGCCAGATTACCAGTCTGGTGGTGTCAGCTGATCCAGCCAGTGAAAGGTCTGCAGAGTGTCTCAAACACTGATTTTAGGTTTTACGATAGTGACGTTATACTCAGGAGCAATTTGGGGAGGTTCAGAGCTGCATGACCCTAAACCGTAATTTCTAATCTTGTAGCTAATTTGTTAGTCTTACAAAGGCAGACCAGTCCCCAGGCAAGAAGAGTGTCTTTTTGGGAAAGGGCTATTATTAAATATTAATTTTGTTTCAGTGTCAAACCATAAACGAAATTCCTTCCCAAGGTAGTTTGGCCTGTGCCCAGGAATGACAAGGACAGCTTAAAGGTTAGAAGCAGGATGGAGTTTGTTAGGTCTAAACAGTGTCACTGTCATAACTTTCTCAGTTACCATTTTTGCAAAGACAGTTTCAATTGGAGAGTCTTAGGAATTCTCATTTTGAGTCTAATAGTACTTAAAGAAGAAAATTTTAAAGTATTTCAGATTTCTTTGTCTTGATTCTTCTCTCAAGTTTCTAGTTGATGACTTAGCGAAGTTTTCCAAGTATTAAATCATACTAAAGAATTTTTTTTGCCACTTTATGTAGCAAAAATGCCTTTTACCAGTGAAGGAAATTTTGTCCCACAACATGTTCATATATACATATCTAAAGATACCATGCAGTAAGCTTGCAAGTAAAAGCATTCTTCATTGTGCTTGCCTAACTACATAGGCTACAAAAGCCTGTGTTCAGAAAGTAGGGGAGACTGGGCATGGTGGCTCCTGCCTGTAATCCCAGCACTTTGGGAGATCAAGGCAGGAGGACTGCTTGAGCCCAGGAGTTTGAGACCAGCGTGGGCAACCTGGCGAAACCCAGTCTCTTCCAAAAAACCATGCAGCAGTTAGCTGGGCTTGGTGCTGTGTGCCTGTGGTCCCAGTTATTTGGAAGGCTGAGATGGAAGATCATTTGAGCATGGGGGGGTTCGGCGTTGCTGTGAGCTATGATGACACCATGGCACTCCAGGTTGGATGACATAAGGATAGATACCCAGAATGCTATAGTTGAGAAAAAAATGGAAACTTTGGCCTCTGTATTTAGAATGTTATAATTCGCCATTTGGCATTGTTCTTTCATTTTATAGGAATCTTTTGTTGTGTGTTCCAGATGATGTCTGAGGCATGTTGACTGTGTGTTTTCTAGAGCCCTTCTTTTCCTGAATTGCTTCTTTCTTCCTTGTAGCTTTTCACAATGATTAAACAAATTTAAAAACTTAAAATGGCACCTTATTTATCATTTTGTTTTATGTCATTGAAGCCAGTTATATAGTACTATTTTAGAACTTAAGTGACTGGCAGTTCACCTGAATGTGTGGAGCAGCCAAAGTAGCTTCTTTAAAATGCCATTCCAGAAACCGATGGTGTTGGAGTAGTCAATGTATGAGTATGCATTAACTCAGCATAGGCAGTGTCTTTGTATTTACACAAGATTTATGATGATTTTTGTCTATCAAGAATTTTACCTTTCCATTTCCTCCCCTTTTCATTCTTCTTTTTTTCATCAGTGTAAACCAGAATACAAAGTACCTGGACTTTATGTAATTGACTCCATTGTGCGACAGTCCCGACATCAGTTTGGTCAAGAAAAGGATGTGTTTGCACCCAGATTTAGTAATAACATCATTAGCACTTTCCAGAATTTATATCGTTGCCCTGGGGATGACAAGGTATGCCGCTGTTTTTTGTTTTTTTTTAAAAGAGATACATTACCCTCTTGATCTTAGTCTTCAGAGATTATTGTAGAACATCATGTGCCACATAATGATGTTTCAATGACAGACTGCATATACAGTGGTGATCTCCTAAGATTATAGTACATATTTTTATTCTACCATTTCTCATTTATGTACACAAATGCCATTGTGTTAAAATTGCCTACAGTATGCAGTACGGTGACTTGCTGAATGTGTTTGTAGCCTAGGAGCAATAAAATATGCCATATAACCTAGGTATGTGGTAGGCTATACCATCTAGGTTTGTGTAAGTACACATCATACGATGATGAAATCTCCTAATGATGCCATTTCTCAGAACATATCCTTGTCATTAAGTGGCACAGGACTGTATATGGCTTTATGTTCTCATTTGCTCTTAGTTATTTCAAATTTGAATATTTAATTATTATAATATCGATGTTCCTTTTTGTTCTTTGAATTTCTTAAACAGAATATGGAAAGATGTAGTAGATTGCTACTTTTTAATTTGTTGAAGCAGTTGGTGTTAATGGCTACAATAAGCTTTTGGAATTACACTAAACTTATTCTCATACACAGCCAATTCAGAATTGTAATTATTTGACATGAGTTGATATAGAAATTCTTCTGTTACGGTAGAATTTTATTAATCACACTACTAAGTCTGGTATGTGTAAGATCTAAATGTGTAAATATTTTATTATTAGCAAGTAAAAAGAAAGCTTTGGATCATGAGGGAGAATAAAAAGGAGTTGCTTATCCTCTTATTTGCTCTGAAATTGTTAGCTTATTTATTTTGGATATTGATTTGGAAATTTAGATGTGCTTTTTCCGACAGGGTTGATTGCAGCGTTAATTAAGTAGGAAAAGATAAGAATAGATGAAGATTCATGTTTGTTTTATGGAAGAACCATAAAACTTTAAGCTCACCACAAATGGTTCACCTTTCTATTGAATATAACCAGATTAAGTACTTATGTTTCATAACTATTATATCATCCTGAATCAGAAAAAGATCTTGTTAATAATTGACAGCTATGGAGTTAAATTTATTATGCTGTATTCTTTGTGAACTATTCTTGGATATACTCCTTGAGACAAAGTGTTTTATTGTTTTTAATCACTTTAGTACTTTGATAATTCTGTGCAGGCAAAAGAATGCTACCAATTTTAAGTGACCTATCATAATTGATTTTTAAAATAGGTACCTTAGACTCCCACTTGAAGTAATGTACTAATTTGAAAACATACGTTTTTTATAAGTCACTTTACTTGGATTTAGAAGTTTCACTAGTTTGGACTTGGATTTCTGTCAGTTTTGATGAACAAATCTTTCTTGAATGTGTAGATTACGTAATATGATATCTCACTTATACTGGGTCTTATGGAATAGGGCTTTTAACCATAGGAGGAGAGAGTACATTAACATTGCAATCTCAGTCATAATAAATGAGGGACATTGGTTTGTATGTAGATATATAGAATGATGGCTATTAGGTGCTGGCCAATTTTAAAGTATATGATGGGTAGCTTGGAAACTGAAGAATATAAGGCATTTTCCAAGTGCCCAGGTTTTAGAGCAGAGAAATTGTCAAATCAGAAGGTATGAAGCAGTCGCTGTAATTTTCTTAAGCTTCATTTGATATATACAAATTTGCACATTAATGTAGTTTGGACATAGTTTAAAAATATGTCACTGTAATATTGTGAGGGATTTAAAGATGAACCAGATCTTTATTCTGAAAATTGCTATTTTACTTTGTAAAATGTATACGTTTAACAGAATGCTCTTTACTTGATTTTAGCCTCTGCCATTTTTTTTTCCTGGTGGAATAAGTGGCATCACAATAGTAGTAACTAGTACTTAGTACTTGTTTGCAGAACATTTATGTGCTAAACAGTTGTGAATCAGATTGGTGATAGTATCAAGAAAATAGTTATTAACAATCAGTCTGCTTTTACTAGTGATAATATGAGTTCAGGATATTGTTACTCTGACATAAGTGTGTGCTCTTGGTGAAATGTTTGTATTTCAAGAAGCAAGGTATATTAGCTAGACTTGCTGATGTTTCTTACAAAATACAGTAGGACATGTTGAGACATTGTTCTTCGTTGGGCATATTTTTCTTCCTGTAAGTTTGAAGCTTTCAGGATCTGTAAAACTTTTATATAACCAAGAGAGACATATGTATAAGTAGGAGTTTTTTCTAGTTACCAGGTTTTCTCTAAATACTGCTAATTATGCTGTTAGATTTCAGAATTACCCAAGAAATAGAAGTCAATAATGACTAGTCTTTTCAAGTTTATAATATACAGAATTCAGCAGAAGAATAGAATTTCCCAACAAAATAGATTTTAATATAAAATGACTGAGTTTAGGGTATAAATACTTAACTAGAAGTACTTTAACATATCGCTAAAAGAAGAGCTGTAACTAATGCATAAGGCGTATGTCTCCCTCCCGAGATGCTCAAACTTTGAGAGTGGCCAGATGTTTAAAATACTAGCCAGTTTAAACAGTTTGATCAGTGTGATACAGGTGGAGATTGAGAAAAGGGAGCAGAGAATCCTTCTGGTATACTGTCTTATTTTATAAATGAGGAAACTGAGGTTTTTGTTTTGTTTTGTTTTATTTTTTTAAATATATTGATATAGTTAGCCTGAGACCAAGATCAGCAGCAGTGTTATATAGATAGTAAATATTTCATGAATTTTGTAACAGCTGCATAAAGATTATTTGACTAGAACCTTACAAAAAATAACAAAGTACTCTGAATATTTGAGTAATCCAGAAAGAGGTTGAGACTACAACACAAATGTAATTTATTTGGTGATAAAATGATTGGAGTGTGGGTTGGGATGGGCAGTGTTGAGACTCTTTATGAGGAATATAAAATTGGATGCGGCGCTGCAGTTCAGGGGCATATCAAGAAGAGAAAATGAGATGGTTCACAGATGTCAAGTCTGCTTGACAGTAGCAAGGAGGTTTTTGTTTTTGTTTTTTTATTTTCAGAACGCTTACCATAAAATTACTGTAGGAAATGAAATAATGTAGAACATTATTTGTATAGAGTATGATTCATCATTCTGAGGGCCAGACTAAGTAATGCCAGTATGACATTGACATTCTACAATGGGAAAGGGAATAGAAAAGAATGAAGAGGGAATGAAGAGAGAAGAAATGGTTATGCTTCAGATTCTGTCTGTACAGAAGTTTGTCCGTCTCTGGTTCAAAGTGTCAGTAGCGAATTACCATGCACAGCAGGATGCTCAAAAAAGGAAGTAATTTGATTGAATTCTTACATCAGGAAATGCCCTTTCCTTAAGTACTTTGTAAAATGAAACTTTAAAAAAATCACATTAGGACTTTGTCCTGCGAGTTACCTATTTTCAAAAGATAGACATTATATGAGAAAAAGTTAAAGTCAGCTGTAAATATAACATTAGTACTGAGATGAATCCTGGCTATCCCTCAGAATCCTTAGGACAGTTCTCCAGCACCATCCATAACATCAGAAGTGACATAAGAAATGAAGCCTAGATGTCATCTCTGCCTTCAGCTAAACGGAGCTTTCATTTACTGTGTATATCTGTTAGAATTAACACGTGTTTTCAAGCACATTAAGGTTAGCAAATGCAAGATGATAGAAGCACAGAATTTTAGGTCTAGAGAGTACCATTGAAGTATTTTAATCCCTTCTTTCCATCCAGGGTCCAGATAGCCACTGTGAAATGACTGTGCTAAGGTTTTTTTTTAAATTAAAAAAAAAATTATTATTCTTAAAAATTCAAATCACCTTGCCAGTATGGTTGGTAATGGGGTAAGGTTTTAAGAGCAAAAAACAAAATGTCATGTTTCTTATTTTTTTCTTTAGAGTAAAATAGTGAGAGTACTAAACTTATGGCAGAAGAATAACGTATTTAAGAGTGAGATTATTCAGCCCCTTTTGGATATGGCAGCCGGGATCCCACCTCCTGTTGTCACGCCTGTTTTGGCCAGCACTACCACTGCTATGAGCAATACTCCAGGTATGCTGCTTTAATATAGATTTGTTGTCTAAATATTCTACTCATACTTTTTGGATGACTGTTCATATAAAAAATAATTTGATAGTGCAGGAATATAGTCTGGAATTAGATAATTGAAACAATATATAATTTGTAGAGAAAAATATAATTAGATATTATATTTGTATGTAATTATTTCTAACATGTAGAAAACTGATTTTCTTTTTAATCTGCAGAAACATAAATATAATGAACTTTAGAAATTTGGTGTGTGAATTAGGTTTTTCCTGATTTAGGTTGTCTGTAACCTCTTACACTTGCGTTTATATCAACTTGGTGTTTATAGGATACGAGGGGGACTTAGTATTTTTAAGAAACCCTGAACAAAATTATTTATCAAAACCAAAATTTCAAAATCATGTTCTCTCGAGGCATTTAAATGACTAGGATAAAAATTTTTATCATAGTTCCAGCCTTGTGTAGTAACTCACACCTGTAATCCTAGCATTTTGGGAGGCCAAGGCAGGCAGATCACCTGGAGTCAGGAGTTCGAGACCAGCCTAGCCAATATGGTGAAACCTTGTCTCTACTAAAAATACAAAAATTAGCTGGGTGTGTTAGCAGGCACCTGTAATCCCAGCTACTGGGGAGGCTGAGGCAGGAGAATCACTTGAACCTAGGAGGCAGAGAGCTGAGATCATACCATTGCACTCCAGCCTGGGCAACAAGAGTGAAACTCTGTCTCAAAAAAAAATTTTTTTCTTTTTTAAATCATAGCTGCAAGAATTAAATTGGTTAGCATTTTGGAGAGAGAGAGAGAGAGAGAGAGAGAGAGTGTGTGTGTGTGTGAGTGTGAACAAAAACTGATGTTTATTGAGACCTTGCTCTGTCACCCAGGCTGAGGTGCAGTGGTGTGATCATAGCTCACTGCACCCTTGACCTCCTGGCTCTAGTGATCCTTCCATCTCAGCCTCCTAAGTAGGTGGGACTACAGGTGTGCACTACCATGCCTGGCTAATTTTTTTTTTCTTTATTTTGGTGGACATGGAACCCTGCTGTGTTGCCCAGGCTGGTCTTGAACTCCAGGGCTCAAGCAGTCCTTCTACCTTGGCCTCTGAAAGTGTTGGGATTACAGACATGAACCACACTACACCTGGCCCAAACGTGGCTTTATATTGCATATACTGTATTATAATTTTTTTTATTGGATTGTATTTTGATTATTTCCTTATGTTACTGAATTTTTGTCTCTGAAGTAAGATTTTTTAATGGCGGTTAAGTATTTTAGGCTTTTTAAAAGTCTAATAGTCTTCCACATCTACAGTTTTGCTTTTCATGGTTCCAATTATTTGCAGTCAACCATAGCCTGAAAGTAGATGAGTATAGTACAGTAAGATATTTTGATGGACAGAGAAAAGAGTGAGAGAGAGAGAGAGACAGAACATATTCACATAACTTTTGTCACAGTATAGCTTATTATTATTATTGTTGTTAATCTCTTACTGTACCTGATTTATAAGTTAACTTTTATCTTAGGTATATGTGTACATACAGAAAAGAAACATAGCATATATAGGGTTTGGTGCTGTGGTTTCAAGCATCCACTGGAGTTCTTGGAACACATCTACCAAGCATAAATGGGGACACTATAGTAACTTAGTTAATTGATGAGGACAAATTTGGTCAGATCCTTTTGGGTGTGGGTGTGTGTGGGGGGGGGGGGGTGTGTGTGTGTGTGTGTAACTTACCTAATTCAGTAAAAGATTTTAAGTGAGTTTTCAAAGTAGACACAAATAAAAACACTTAGATGTGTGCATGTATTTTATACAAATAATAAAATGAATTATTCTCCCTTTTCAAGTCTTAAGTTATTTACTTACATATTTATTTGAGGGGTATGATGTTCTTTTTAAAAGGAACTCCAGTGACACCTGTTACCCCGGCCAATGTGGTCCAAGGCTTACCTGATCCGTGGGTATCTCAGATAACAAATACAGATACACTTGCGGCTGTGGCTCAGATCTTGCAAAGTCCTCAAGGCCAGCAGGTGAGCAGTTTTTCTGTTATGTCAAGAATTATTTAGAATTTAGTATTTTCCTAATGTGTTATTTTGTAACATACCACCTAGAAAATATGTACTTTTTTTAGTTTTATAAAAGTGGGACCATTATTTTGTTACTTGTTTTGTTACATACTTTGTTACTTGCTTAAGTCATTTTTAATAAGTATCATGAATGCTTTCATGTCATTAAAAGTTATTTCATAAAACATGTATCCTGTACCAAAATCTGGAACTAGAACATAGTTTTGCCAAATATTATTAGATGCTATCACACCCCAGTAATGAGACAAAAGTCCTATCTTAGAGAAGACCTCCTATCTTAAGGGCAACAGATTGT